ACGCATGATTTCAGAGTGAAAATATTTACGTATTGGTTGGTATGTGTGCTATTGATCCATCCATTCGAGCGTGTTCATTGTTACATCCAGCAAAAACAATTTTGCACTCACTAATGTAAGTGAGAATCTATGAACTCGTGCTATTCGACAATGAGATTTAAAATGACTTTGCTTGTTATGAAAGCAATCATTCTCGTGCTTATTGTTCGGTCTAAACACAGTGAAAAACGTCAAAAACTGGTGTTTTTCTTCTTGATAATNATAGGCTAATGAACTCGTTTTTATTTGCTCGCATTCTCTCCGACAATGACGGAGAAATCCTAGGTTCCCCAATATATTGGGGAACCTAGGACTTCTTTTCTGCACCAAAAAATTAAACAGCAGTTGCATAACGAGCCTTTCTCCTAGTGAATGACGATTATGGAACACATGAAAATAACTAGCTGTTCAAATTGTTACACAGTAATCAGCGGCGGTGAAATGTCTTCATTTTGGTTGTTTTGTTAAAGAAGACGTTTGCGTTGGAAAAATGATTGATTTGGGAAAATATTGCATTTGGTGGTGTTATGATTAATGTAGTCATCGTCTTGTTGTCATCGGTTCGACAGCAATTAATACCGCTAATGATGACTAACGATCGGTAACAACTTCTTTTTGCAGCTAATAAAAAAGCGTCGTGAGAGAGTGTAACAACGATTTGTTGCATCATATTAAAACATTCAATTGGCAATTTTCATGATTAATTTCATGTAAAACGTTTGTTTAGTTCAATTAATTCACTTTTTCCTACTCCATAACGCTTCGAATTACGACGAAAAAAAGACATTTTGTGGGAATATTTTAAAATTAAATTTGTAGAATGCGAGCAAGTGAAAACGAGTTCATTAGCCTATTATCAAGAAGAAAAACACCAGTTTTTGACGTTTCTCACTGCTTCTAGACCTAAGAGTAAGATTTCACGAAAATGATTGCTTTCATAACAAGCAAAGTCATCGTAAATAGGAACCATAGATGATGTGAACAAGAGCAAAGAGATTTGAAAGGAAGTGGTGATAGGATTCCAATAGAATGAAGCTAGTATCAAATGAAGTCGCTTCCATTGGTGTTCTTTCAAGATTCCAGTTTCTTGAATTTTGTAGCGTAACAATTCGCGATGCTCTGAATCCTCAAAGAATGGCTGCTTTCATGTTCAATCGTCTCATCGAAAACACTGACACTGAGTAATGATTCGAAAGGAAAACAACAAGTTAAAAGTTCAGCTGCTTGCTATAAGTGTTACCTTCTGTGGCCATCTCACATTGAATGGTAGAGAGATACTGTAGATACCGATCATTTTGCTTTCGCGGATGATCGATCTCGAATTATGATGTATCAGTGCACAATCACGATGGTTTCGCTGGTAATTAGATCGCACACCGACGCATAGATGAACGTACGCCTCACAAGTACAACTCGTTATATCAGAGTAAGCTGAAAAGACAGACGGTTGTTTATCATTCAGCAGAAGTGAAAGGATGAGTCCTTTCGAAGAACATATGATACTTTAAACGGGTCAGTCATGAACTCTTAAAGTGATGTATTATTTGATGAAAGCATCTTCAAATTCGCAGCAAACAGTCAACATGAGATCGCAAGGTCATAGGCACACTTTTCTGTGAAGCCATATCGCAGTTCAATGGATCGTCTTTATCCAGTGTTGTCCGTTGAGTAATTCACTCATGGATATCACAGTCCATATGTGAGCAATTTAGTCGCTAATTTCCAGAGATCGCATCGATTCATTAGGCATTTTGAAAACGCTCGCTTTTTGGAAACAGCCGAGGCTTTAGAAGGTAATAAGAGTGGGAATGACGTTATTTCTAGTGGTTTCGTTATATTTACGTTGCAGATCGCACAAATTTTGTTTCTTTCGGCGTTGCATTTCAGACACACATTTAGTGGTTAGAACATAATGAGATTTGCACTGATCAAGAGATTCTGATGAACATTCTTGATAAGCGTCATGTAATATTTTCTGCTTGTTTACACAGTCCATCGCGTACATCGCAAAATAATTTCTAATACCATAAGCAGTTAACACAAACCAAGTCATTTTTTGAGACTGGAAGAGCCTCGAAATTGGCCAATTTAGTTTTAAAGATATATGCCGAACAGACATAATGTTGGTTGATACGGGTCGGCACTATTGCCGATTATGCAGAACATGTAAGCGAAAATTAATGATAATCAATTGTAAATCGGATGTGAATCGGATCAAATTCATCTCATATATCCGCTTTTGACTCGAGCGAGTACAACTACGGTATCAGTTCATAAAACGACGATTTTAGTGTCCATTTGGATCTTCGTTCATTTCAATCGTTTGCGTTGAAATGATTTTGGAAAATTGAGCAGAAGGAATGGTAAATGCGAACCTCCATCGGGACAACATTTTCCGGCGTTTAATGCTCCATTCGCTTCGAACGCTTTGAATTCAAATTGGAACGTGCCACTGGCATCGATTCCATTTGAAACCTGCAATTAGACGCACATTACTTTTTTCATTTGTGTTAAAGGCAACGCAAGCTTTAGTGTTGCAAACCGAGCTAGTAATGCGACAGCCAGCAATGAGAAATTGCTCTTTCAATCTCAGCATTTGGCGCTGAAAATGGAATATTGGAGAAACTCAAAAATTGAAAATTGATTTTTTCCATTCGTTATAAGCTAATCAACTCATCTTACAAATTACCAGTAATCATCAGGTGAATTCAATCATGAAACTCCATACAATACGAACTAATTATTGCTTGGCAGCCAGTAATAGCCGATTCTTAGCGACAATTGCAAAAGTTTGTATCTTTGAGTTTTATGTGCAAATATTATTGTGCGAATTGTAAAGTAAATGCGAAATGCATATTGGAGAGGAAAACAAGTGTAAGCAATTGAGTGAGTCAATGGTGCCTTAAAGGGATTTATTGATACTCAAGTACTGATATCCTACAGATTTGTTTATTTACTTTGTATCCTGGTGTGACATGAACCGGAAGAGAGAGAAAAGGCAACGGTTCAAATTGCTGCGCAATGTGTTATTATCGCAGCTGTGTTATGAGGTCATAAATTCGAACAGCAAAAAAATGAAATACAACAATATTAAGTTGTTGAGGAATAATGATCACTGCGAGGTATATATGATCTTGATGTGATACATAATGATGTTATTAGATGTCTATATAATATCATATGATCTAATCAATGACATCCATCCACCAAATTTGGTATGAAATCATTATTCAGCACATGTGCGAGTACAGTTACATAAACACATAAATGCCGATAGCCAGAATAAGTACATCCGCCGCCGCCGCCTTCACAAATCTGTTGTTTTGTTCAGCATTGCATCGCATNAATCAATGACATCCATCCACCAAATTTGGTATGAAATCATTCAGCACATGTGTGAGTACAGTTACATAAACACATAAATGCCGATAGCCAGAATAAGTACATCCGCCGCCGCCGCCTTCACAAATCTGTTGTTTTGTTCAGCATTGCATCGCATCGCAAAGCGATGTGTGAGCATTTTGAGTAAGATTAGATCGTACTGAAGATAGAAGAAGATCATGAGCACCACAACCAAATCGAATCAAATACAATAACAACATTCGCTAAAAGATTATTATTATGTTGGCCGTCTTCAAATATTCTTTCATCCGAGTTGGTCCCTACAGCTGAATTGCTTGAGAATGAAGTGCTGCTGCAATCAACAGNATGTTCGGTTACAGTATTGTACAAAAGCCGCAAATACACGATATCTGTTAGCGTATATCATGCATTCATATAGCAAGCTTTTAACGTGCTTGTATAATTCTGATATTTTCCATTGAGGCATTCATTCAATTGTTCTAATCTTTTCAGTCGTGTGTCAATCATACATTACCTTGTTCCATCGATCGTCACCATGCACGCAATGCTTGAATGAGAACTACGAACCTTAGAAGATTTTAATAATTCCTGTCCAATTTGCAAAAGTCTAAACGTTTAACTAGTATCGTTTCGTAATTATTCCCTTCGTTTCAGTCGATCGAACGCTCCGCAAAAACAACTAATTGCATGTTACTCTTGATTTACTTGATTCTCAGAATAATAGATTGTTGGAAATGTAGAAACTGAATTAATGAATTGCTTCATCTAATTACAGAAAGTGAATTACTGGAAAGTTCGTTTCGTTGGCTACGTTCATAATCGGATTGCTTTCATCAGTTTGTTCATTCTTAAATGCTGAATGCTTTCATTAGCCTTATATATTTTCATTTTTTCCTTCTTTTCGTATGCTCAATAGGGTGAAAATATGTGAAAATTTGTTGAATGTAATACAATGTTTCGGATGAGAATGATTAGCGAAGATATGATTTGTACGTTGAAGAAACAAACGAATGAATATGAAGACTGAGTAAAAAAATAAATGATATCATCGCAAAATCATCATCTTAAAATCATCATCGTTGGCGCATCTCAATGCCAGAACCATCACCGCACAAAAAAGCCGTCTCTGTGGTGTGGCACAAGAAAGCGCTTGCTGCACACAAATGAATGTTCATCAGCATCAGCATTTATTTCAATCGCTCATTCATTTCGCCTTACTTTAAAGCGTTTTTCGCTTATCTCAATCGTCGAATAATCTGGCCAATGCACATCAATCACTATCGCAACTGCGCTAATTACGGCCAATTCATTAGTGCAATCAACGGACATTNGCACACTGCACGGATTAAGCAAAACAGTTTATTTTTCTGAAAACTTTGCTAAAAACACTGTCTTGTTTTCAGAAAAAAAAACAACGAAAACTCCCCAGTGCCAGTGAGTTGACTGATCAGCGAGGATGTACTTGCAGAAAATTATTCCGGCTAAGTGAGTGTCTACAAGCGGCCAGCGATGGCTGATTAGCAAGTGCAAGATGCTCGCTCATGAGCGATAGTTCAAAGCCAACTCGCGCGATCGTTTAATGTGCTCCAAAAATTGCCATGTGTGTTGGAATGACGAGTGTTTCAAATTGTGCACATTGTCAGGCTTCGAAAATTGTGCTTGTTAGAAAAAGGTACGAATTTGTATTGAAAACAAAATGTCCTCATAAATGCACACGCGTTTTTGCGAGAGTTATATGAGCTGCAAAGAGCTAAAATGTAGTTAATGCGTTTATTTCTACTATTGTGCAATCATTCCATATGCACTGACGAAAGATCAGCTCGTTGGATGGAGTAATGTGCAGAATTTTAATGTTTTCAGGAGGAAATTTCATCCGAAGTGAATGCAGCCAATGCCAAAGCGAAAACGTGAAAATGGTTGACCACCAATGAAATTCGTGAAAGGGATCTCTGCAAAATGCATTTCAATGATGATGCGTATTGCAATGATATTATACAAAACAACGATCATAACTGACAACATCATCAAAAATAAAAGCAACAACAATACAAGATGATGATTATTATCTGTTTTAAACCACTCCGACTATAAGCAGTCCATTGATCTTCGCTCAACGGAATTTCGCTCGATTGAGTGTGGATTTTCTGTGGAGTATTTTGCAGAATCGGTGTTCGCAGAAGAGATGAAACAAAATGCGATGCAAAACATCTCTAGGATTTGGCTTTTCAGAGAAAAATTTCGGAGATGTTTTCACTCCAGCCTCGTTTCGATCGTATATTTTGAAAAAGACAAAAGTTTTAGGGTATATACTGAACCATAGAGAGCAATTCAATTACCTACGTCATCCTATTCCATGGCACCTCGTACTGCTTTCCTTCCACCGAAGTAATATCTCAATTCACCGAAGTCATATCACCG